CTATACGTTACCTAACCGAACCTAACCTAACCCCCCAAAAAATACGCATTTCATTATTTTTTTGGGGACGGGGAAATAATATATAATATCAAGGTACATGTGGGTGTTGTAATGGTCTCAGTGTGTAGTGAGACTTGTTGTTTTAATGTGAATAGAGATATGTTGAGTGTATAGCTCTCTCTCTCTCTCTCTCTCTCTCTCTCTCTCTCTCTATTTTTCTCTGTTTATTTATCTTTCTATTAATGTATGTACAGTATGTCAATCTATCTATCTGTATATTTATCTATCTGTCTATCTATCTATCTACCTATTTATTTATTACTTATCATCAATACCCACTTTACTATACCGTATATATATATATATGTAAATCTCTCTAATAATCTTATATATTAAAAAAAGTCACAAACAAAAGGTTTTATCCGTCACAGGACCAGAAAACAAAAGGGAAAATTTCGTTAAGTTAGATTAAAAAAAAAGTATATATTTTTTCCTTCATCTTTAATCTAATGTTTGGTAATTATATTCACGGTGAGAGAGAGAGAGAGAGAGAGAGAGCATCGTTTCTGTACAAGTCCTTCATTTGATTAGGTTCTGAGGGGCATAATATCCATTTATTTTTTACCATGTTGAATATTACGTCACTCTTTATTTTGTGTGAGTTGGTCTCATTTGCATAGAAGTAAATCATCTGTATCGAGAGAGGACTGCACGTTGTTTGTTATTATTATTATTATTATCACCATCATTAATATATTAGTAGTAGTAAGAGTATTATTGTTATTATTGAAATATAGAAACTTAATGAACTATAAGGATCAAAATTTAATCCTCTTAAGAACAACACAAAATAATAGTCTCACCTTTCAACACATTTCCAGGGCATTATAGGTCACTGAACCGCTCGGAGGTAAACACAGCCTTAGCCCTTTAAAGCTACACCTCCTTACGCTCCGAGAAAGTTTTCCCATAAAACCGGATTAAAAGAATTCTACTCTGGCTTAATACAATGGGGGGAAAATATCGTGGAATAGAGAAGTTTAATAATAGTGATGATGGTGATGATGATGGTGGTGGTGATGGTGGTGGTGGTGGTGATGATGGTGGTGGTGATGATGGTGGTGATGATGATGATGTAATTCAAAAGGTCACATACACGCTCACAAGACACACACACACACACACACACACACACACACACACACACACGTGGTAGTAGGTCAGCAGAGTCTATTAGGTGGATATGACTCGTTCTCATGGTGTTGTTGACCTGACTCTCTTGGAAGGATCTGCTCTTCCATTCCCTCTTCCTTCTCTCTTCCTTCTTCATTCTTTTTTCCATCTTCCTTTCATCTTTCTCTTTCCCTTCCTCCTACCCTGAGTCTCTTCTTGCCTTTTCCAGTTTCCTCACTCTCTCTCCTTTCGTTAACTTCATCATCTTTGCCCCTCTTCTCTTTTCTCTGCCCTCCTTCCTTCCTTCCACCGCTCTCTTTCTTTCCTCCTTCCTTCCTTCCTTCCTTCCTCCTACCCTCTCTCGTTATCATATACTTCCTCCTTCCTCCTCGTCCTCCTTTCTCCTCCCTCACTAACTCCACCTCCTCCCTCCCTCTCATACCCCTCCCCTTTTCTTTTCTCTCTCCTCTGAACGTATAATTCTATTCTGATGACCCACAACATACCTTCGAAAAACCTTCCTTCCCAAAGCTTAATTTACAGTAGTCTCCCCAATAGTTATGTCTTACGAAAAAGAAAACGAGAGTGAGAGGTGTATACATACCTTACCTGTACCTATTCAGGCGACAAATGAAGTGGCTTAGGTTGATGATAGAGATGGATTGATAGGCGGGAATGGATAAACAGTGGTTAAGACAGATGGATATTGCTGATGGATAGACAAGTAGGAATGGATAAAAGTGTGACAGTTAACAATGTTTATAATTGCGGAGGGTGGTAGTCGAACAGAGACATCTAGTGGAGGGATTCGTCAACACCGAAACTCCCAAAGTGTGATACGATATATTAAAGTTTCCCTCCTGGTTACAAAAGTATTGACTTGTATGTAAATAGTGTTTAAGTCCTTGTTAATGGTTTAGCAGACGACTAGTTAACTCAGAATCCAATTATAACCTTAAAAATTTATATTATAACAAACAAATTAAAATAAAAACGAAAATAACGTCAAAAAGATGATAATAAACACTAACTTAAATTTAAATCACGAAAAGAAAAATAAATAAATCATAAAAAAATACAATAGTTTTTGTCTTGAACGTAAAAAAGCCCGCCAAAAAATCACAATAAAATGAACTGATTCTCCTGACAGAATTCACTAGTGAACACAGAACTCATTAGTGAACACCTGTGATCATAACCTGGAGATGGACAATTGAACTACGATATGGTAATGTACAGTGACGTGTTTGTTCAATATGTATGTACTGTTTGTTTGAGTCATCTGGGATACAGTTAAAAATGGATTAATGGGTGTGTGGGAGGGAGGTGGGTGGGTGTGGGAGGAGGGGTGGGTGGGGAGGGGAGGTGGGTGGTGGGTGGGGAGGGAGGGGGATGGGTGGGGAGGGAGGTGGATGGTGGTGGGAGGGAGGTGGGGTGTGTTGGAGGGGAGGTGGGATGGGTGGGGAGGGAGGGGGTGGGTGTGGGAGGGATGGGTGGGGTGTGTGGGGAGGGAGGTGGATGGGTGGGGGAGGGAGGTGGATGTGTGTGTGGGAGGGAGGTGGATGGGTGTGTGGGGAGGGAGGTGGGTGGGTGTGTTGGAGGGAGGTGGATGGGTGTGTGGGAGGGAGGTGGGTGGGTGTGTGGGAGGGTGGAGGTTGGTAGGGTGGGAAAGGAGAAAGGAGGTAGAAGGAGGAGGGGGGCAGGGAGGGAAGTAGGAGGGAAGTAGGAGATAGGGAGACAAGGGGGAAGGGAGGAAGGAAGGATGAGGAGAGACTGGAAGGGAGGAAAGTAGGGAGGGAGGAATCACGAGTAAGGGAGGGACGCTGGAAGGGAAGGGAGGGTGAGAGCAAGGGAGAGGATCCATTTCTCATCTCCCTTCACGACGAAGAAAATAACGTATGAATATTTGAGTGTGGAGGCAGCTCAGGGAGATTTACGAACTAACTGTAGATGTCCCCCTCTCCCTTTCTCTCCCTTTCTCTCCCTTCTCCCCATCTCCTACCGCCTTTTCCTCTTCCACTCTTCCTGTACCCTCCCTTGCCTCTCTCACATTTTCTTTTCTCTACCTCCCTCTTTTTCCACTTTAACTTCCTCCACTTTCCCTCTCCTCTCTCGCTCTTTCTCCTCTCCCATCCCCTCTCCCCCTGAAACTGATAAAATACAGAGAGAGAGAGAGAGAGAGAGAGAGAGAGAGAGAGAGAGAGAGAGAGAGAGAGAGAGGCTTTCAAAATACTGTACTTTCAGGTTGGCAGAAAGATAAAAGTTTCTTTATGTTCAAGTTACCAACGTGACCATTTCTCTCACAGAATTTAGAACATTTTTAAGATGGTCGAACCGTGGGTTAACTTTGTACAAATTTGACTGTCTATCTCCACACACACACACACACACACACACACACTTCGTTTTCTTTACAGAGATTAAGTTTAGTTTATAGAAAATGACATTGAAAGTAGGGTAGACTAGTGAAAATAGAAAGATATGGATGGATAGATAGATATATAAGTGATGTGGCTACGTGAGAGCTGTATGTCTGTTGTGGGTCACGTGTTGATACTATGTGCTTTTGGTGGAGTGATTTTGTTTTGACTTTGATAATCTCATACGGTGTAAGTTGAACAAATGAACAAGAAAGAGAAAAAAAGTAGGTCTTGTTTGAACTATATACCAAAAGGGCAATGTTTGAGTGATACGTGATCGGAGTTTAGTCTTTTAAAAGCTTTTCAGTTGAGTATATTGTGAGCTGTAGGACTTGGTATTGTAGATATGGTATAATGAAAGTTACTTGGAAGTTAGTGCATTGAAATGGTGATTACAGGTAGATTGATTTGGAAGTTAGTACAGGTAGATTGATTTGGAAGTTAGTACAGGTAGACTGATTTAGAAGTTAGTACAGGTAGATTGATTTGGAAGTTAGTACAGGTAGATTGATTTAGAAGTTAGTACAGGTAGATTGATTTGGAAGTTAGTACAGGTAGATTGATTTAGAAGTTAGTACAGGTAGATTGATTTGGAAGTTAGTACAGGTAGATTGATTTAGAAGTTAGTACAGGTAGATTGATTTAGAAGTTAGTACAGGTAGATTGGTTTAGAAGTTAGTACAGGTAGATTGATTTGGAAGTTAGTACAGGTAGATTGATTTAGAAGTTAGTACAGGTAGATTGATTTGGAAGTTAGTACAGGTAGATTGATTTGGAAGTTAGTACAGGTAGATTGATTTAGAAGTTAGTACAGGTAGATTGATTTGGAAGTTAGTACAGGTAGATTGATTTAGAAGTTAGTACAGGTAGATTGATTTAGAAGTTA